AATATCGGTCAACACTACATAAGAAGGTAATCAACGATACGTTGGCAAACAGGCGTGAGTCATTTGCACAGGCTCTACCAGCAAGACAAGTTTTCAATCGACAACGAGATCAGACCATATCTTTCCTGGACCACACTATATATTCTCCGAAAATAAAGTAAACGCGGTCGAAGCTATGGAACCAGTTGAAGCGGTCGGGACAGTTGAGGCGATCGAAGCAGTCGAAGCAGTCGGCACGTTTGAGGTCGTTGAACGATTATGCAGGAACGAGACTACTGTTGACAATACTTTGCCCTGCAGTTCTTCGGGGACGCAATTTGATGATCTTCCATTCGACATCTGTTGCGAGATCATTCGACACCTCGATATCGAAAGCGCCTTGTCACTCCTATCAACCAATCGACACCTGCACGACAGCCTAAGCAGCAAATTCCTGTTCCTGATAAGCAGGCTCGAGAAAGAAAAATTTTTGCAACTTGCTGATGCCTTTTCAAAGTATCGACGCCTGCAGATGGTGGCTTGTTTCGATTGCCTCAGGATGCTGCCTCGTTCGTCGTTCGCAAGTAGTGTCTGGCCCGAAGGGACTTGGTCTCGTTTATGCTTCAACTGCGTTTCCCAACGCCGGAGCTCCGTGGGATTGAGCACGATCAGATACGATGGGACGTGGTATTACCTATGCCACACCTGCAGTCAACTGGGTACTCGGTTCAATAGGTGTCATGTGAAGCGTGACTGGTCGACCGCTTTACCTTTTACGCGGGAGGAAATTATCATCTCGTGTGTCGGCCACAGGAAGCGATCTCCTCTAGAGAATTTGACTGACAACATTCTGCGCCGAATTACTCAGCAGCTGGATTACCTCGATGTCATCAAGCTCCGAAGCTCATGTTGCCTAATGAGACTTAACGTGTCTGCCGATTGGGTCCCGTTGCACGAACGGTTTCTTGTCATGAGAAAGTATGAGCCGATCGTTTCTCAGGCCGAGAGCTCGCAGCTTCGACCTCACGGCGGCACCGCTACGCCACTCAGCTATCCGTGCTACGGGTGCTTCCAAGTCAAAAAGCTGAAGGCCTTCAACTCAACCCAGCTTGAGCTGTCCACCGTCAAAAAGCCCCATAAGTTCTGGAAACGACGGTGCAAACACTGCCTGCGGCGGCTGTATATCAAAGACGACGTCAGACCTTTGGAAGAATGGCGACGGCGGCTACCTTGTTCTGAATGTGGCAGCTTGAGATACAAGGGCCAGCGCTGTCGTGCGTGCTTTTCGCCGTTGTATCTCTACAGGAACGCGCGACCAGATTCGAACACGACGCCTGCTGATCGCTACGGGCAGGTGTTGGATCAGATGAAGACGTGGAGCGCTGGATACGCACAAGCTCTGCAGTCAGTGGAAGCAGAGGAATCTGCCACGGGATTTAGCAAGGAGAACGAAACTCTCCTTGAGAAGCGCCGTCGAGTGCTTTGGGAAGCTGTTTATGATGACAACATTCGGCGCATGTCCTTGCAGATGGTCTGAAAAGTGGCACTCGATCGCCCGGGCTCCCCGAGACGGCCCCACATGTTCGGCGCCGGCACCATTTCACCGGAGTCCGAGGGGGCAGGCACCGCTTCGACACCAAGAGTTTTCTTGTAGAAACCGTGTGGCCGAGGTTGCGGCACAAAGAGAGTTTGCCAGTTGTAAGCCTGGACATCCCCGCATTGACTACTCTCATTCCCGTGTCAACCCCGCGGGGCTGCATATTGGTGTTCATGGATGACGACACCCGGCAGGTGGTCTTTAATACTAGAAGTAAGCAACTAATTAGAAGTCATTCATCCTAGTTTTTCACCTTGTAATACCCATGGGTATCATTCCATCCTAAGCTGAACGCGTGTGAGAAATAGACTTACGTCTTGAAAGACTCGGAGATGGCAAACCAAGCCAACGGAGGTGGAAACGCCACCACAGACCAGTTCTACCCTGGCGCAGAGGGTGCTACACAGAACTTCAGCGACTTTATTGCCAAAGCAAAATACGAAGACATACCACCGCAAGCCATCACCAAGCTCCTCGATCTGATCATCGATCACATCGGTGTCGGAGCCGGCGGCGGAGCCCAGTCGGAATCGAGCAGCCACATCCTCAAAGCCGTCGAAGCCTTTTCAGAAGGCTGCGCCGGTGAGAGCACAGTCTACGGCAAAACAAAAACATACCCCAAACACATCGCAGCTCTGCTGAACGGCGCATTCGCACACTCCTTTGACTTTGACGATACCCTCGCAATCGGCATCATCCACCCCGGCGCAAGCGTCATCCCGGCCGCCTTGGCGCAAGCTGAAGCCTCCAACGCCTCCGGGCGCCAGCTTCTGACGGGTCTCTCCGTCGGGTACGAGGTGGCGTGCCGTCTCGGCCGCGCCCTATCTTCGGGTGGCTATCCCCGGGGCTTCCACAACACCGCCACGGCGGGCATCTTCGGCGCTGTGGCGGCCATCTGCAAGATCAAGGGGCTGGCGGCTGAGCAGGTCTACAACGCTTTCGGGCTAGCCGGTTCCAAGGCCGCGGGTTCGATGCAGTTCCTTGACAACGGGTCGTGGAACAAGAGGCTCCATCCCGGATTCGCGGCCCACGATGCTTTTCTTTGTGTTGCCCTTGCGGAGGCGGGAGTCACTGGCGCGTCGCATGCGATTGAGGGGAAATGGGGCTTCTTGCAGGCGTATTCGACGAAGAGCAAAGCCGCTGGTCTGACGGAGGATCTGGGATCCGAATGGCTGTTTGCCGCGACGGCGATGAAGCCCTTCCCTGCCTGCCGCTTCACGCACACCGCAATCGAGATCACGGCAAGGGTTGCGGCTGAAGCCAAGTCTGGAGAGCTTCCGCAGAAGATTACCGTCTGGGTGAATCCCTCTGGCTATGATATCATCGGGCGGCCGAGTCCGAATAAGCTGCACCCCGAGACCATTGTTGATGCCCAGTTCAGCATGTATTATCAAGTCGCCGTGGCCTGGTTGTTTGGAAGTGAAGCCGGGTGGAGCGTTTATGATGCCGAGAAGATGAAGGATAAGAAGGTGGCGGAGCTTTGCGATCGAGTGGAGGTTGTGACCGATGACAGCTTCAAGGAGGAGTTCGAGGTAAGGATGTCGTTCCAGGGTGTCGATGGCGGAGCTGCCAGGGAGGAGGCTCTAGTGTACCCGCTGGGCGAGGTCGAGCACCCATTCTCGAGCGAGAAGGTCAGGGACAAGTTCCGGGGTCTGGTCCAGCCGGTGTACGACCAAGAGCGAGCTGAGAACATACTTAAAGCTGTGGACAATCTGAGCAAAGGCTCTGCTGCGGAACTGCTGAAGTTTCTATGAGATTCCAATATCTTTAGCTGAAGATCTAGAGCAATCGCGAATCTTGAACCATGCACGTGTCGGAAGAGCCCCTTTCCTCGCCCTTTTCAAGGGCGTCCTTGGGTCTCTTATCTAGGACCCGCAGCATCCACCAATACAAGACGATCCCGGACCCTCTACCGTTGTTTGAAGTTGTGGATTCGATCGCGAATTCCGAAGGCAACTTGTGGGTAACTTGAAGCTTGTGCCAATATCATGGATTGGTGTTAGGGCTATCCAGGTAAGGAACAATCCCGTGAGGGCGGCATTTCTTGTGTCGAGGGCTTCCCATCTTCGCCGGTCCCGGTAGCTTAATCCACATTCCAGAAATGCGAAGACAATGGCACTTCCACGTAGGAATACTAACAGTGCAATGCCGATATCGCTTTCGTTTTCCCTCACATGCTCGCAGACATCACGGCTTTCAGTCCAGATTGAAACCTCGGAAGGTCTCGTCTGGAGCTCTCACCAGCCTCCCGCAGAGACGGGAGCGATTCTGACTTGAGCGTCGTGCATTGCCGTATGCGGCCAAGGACCAGAAGTCGCCGACGCATCGGAAAGAATTATTGCGTCTGACTCAGCCTTTTTAAGGGAAATACGACGGTCGCCTCCAATCCGCATTAGACTTGGACTTCTGTAAATTATCCACGCGCAAGAATAGCAACCGGCGCTGAGTCTCCAGGGAAGTCAGACACCAACTCTCCTCCATTTGGGAACTCAGCCCGGCATGGCTCCACCACTATGAAATCGACCCAAACTTTGATGAGCCCAAGAAGAGCCATTTCCCCGCCTGGAGTGCATCCTTTGCGCCAGATGCAGCAAGTCCTTGGATGCTGCAAGGCATTCATATGTCCGAGCTTGGTGGTCTGGAGTCAGGTCGATGCCCAGGGTGCCATGATATGATCCGGCATGGACTATTGAGCGGCACAGAGGCCGTGGCAACGGCTCGGTCGCCCAACCGCCTATCGAGAACGCCGCTTCATTTCGATGATGCCCCTTCCGAACCGTCATTCATCTCCGCGTGAGCATCCTGGTCTCACGTTGCAACACCACGATTGACTGATCGTCTTCGCATGGGATTCGCTGCCGTGGTTGACACAATTGCGGGAGGCCCCGATCCGCCAACGCCGGCCGTCAAAGTGTGCTTTGACCGCCTAGAGCCGGGTAGATTGCGGGGGATGACACGCTGAACCGCCATTTTCATCTCGCTTCCTGGTTTCGACAGCCAGGGGAACCCCTTCTTCTTCCAATCGCAGGGCGGCGGATGCGACTCACAGGGTGTCCCTCCCGCCCGACATGTTCTCTTCGGGGAGGATCACGCTCATTTTCACGAACCACGTTCTGTCGTGGTGGTGTTTGGGCTACCATCCGAACTCCTTTCTCGGGTGATGTGCGGAGACATGGAAGCCTGGACCTGGACTCGGGCTGGGCCAGATCGGACATGAAAGATGACGGGCTTCTTTTATAGCCAGGTATTGCCGTCTGGGGGAAGAGCGATATGGGTCGACGGAGATCTTTAGGTCTCTGCGACCGTTTATTGTTACCTTGTCCTGTCCCCCTGGCAGGCGCCGCGAAAAACGAAAAAAAAAAGTTCTGCAGCGACCGCAGAGCTCGCTCTCTTCTCTCCCGCCAGATGACGGTGCTCAGCCCGCATGGACGACGTTCCTTTTGACGAACTTCCTCACGATGACTATGGTCCGTGGATGCTTGCGATTATTTGGGGGCTTGGGGCCATAGCTGGGGGCTTCATGGGATTACGACTTTACTGCAAGTTAACGCGACAACGAGGTTTATGGTATGATGACTACTACATGATAGCAGCTTTGGTGAGATTGTTTTCGCGCCGAATCTTGGCATCATCGCAACTGACACCTACAAGCTTGCATACATAACGTTCGGCGTCTTCATCTCGATCGACGTTTCGTACGACTTTGGCAAGCATAATTGGGACATCACGCCAGGCAACTGGTCTTGGCTTCTCCTCCACGCCAATCTGTCTGGCTCCTTTTCCATCATTGCGGCATGCTGGAGCAAGACGTCTTTCGCACTGACGCTGCTGCGCATTGCGAACTCGCGGTGGATGAAGTATTTGATCTGGTTCATCATGATCTCGGTCAACATCGCGCTTGGCCTCAACGTGCTGTTCACCTGGATCCAATGCACGCCTGTCGAAAAGACATGGCGGACGGCTTCGACCCCCGGGACGTGTTGGGACAAGAGCATACCGATGAACTACAACACATTCACGGCATCCTACTCTGGCGCCATGGACATTGTGCTTGCTATTCTTCCGTGGAAGATAATCTGGGGCCTCTCTATGACGAAGAAGGAGAAGTTCGGTGTTTCGCTCGCGATGAGCATGGGTGTCTTGTGAGCATCTAGCATTTCTAGACATAGCGTCCGCGCACGCAACAACCACTGACCTACGTGCTCCAGCGCTGGCATTGTTTCATTTATCAAAATCAAGACGATCACGGCCATCGGGGCCTTCGACATCATTGACACAGTCGAGCTTGTAATATGGGGCGCTGCAGAGAGTGCTGTCACCATCATCGCCGCGTCAATACCCATCCTTCGAGCACTGTTCCGCGACTACAAGCCGCCACCGGCTCGCTTCATCAGCGACGAGGAGTCGATGCTTCGTCGGCTGGGTGAGGCATCACTGCGGACGATGACGAGACCACAAACGGCGGGGATAAGGCGCTCGAGATCGGAGATGGAACTGATCGAGATAGACAGGAGCCTTGGTTCCAGAGGATATGCAGACAAAAACGACCTAGCGTTGCAAGCGTGGAAAGGGAGGGACGAAAACTTCGACTCCAAGAAGGAGATTGGGAATGGAGCAACGCTGTCGTCGCAATTTGATGCATTTGGGAGAGGGGTTCAAGAGCCGAAACGCACTCACGTGAGGAACTTCTCCCGGAAGGAAGTGAAGTTAGTTCCTCTCCAGTGACCTCAATTCTACTCGCAAATTGCTTCATTCGCCTGCCTTTCGCAAAGCGCATTGATCGTGTCCTTCATATCCAGCGGACTGCTGCTTCAAGGAGGATGGATTTGGATCTTAGTCCACTTGAACCCAAGTCATTGATCGCGTGTCTCGAAGATCGCCCTTCATGATGTCACAGCAGCCCCTGCGATGTCTACTAAAAAGTTCTAGGTCTGACCAACTCTGGGATGGATCTAGTGTGGCTTCCTATCAACCCTCTGGCACAACGACCAACGGTAATAAAATTGCGGGAAACTTACATCTATTGATAAAAAAGTATCATGTCCAATCCACAATATTGAAGCCTGAATTTCGATGTCCAGGCTTCTTTACTCGCCAGGATCGCGCCGCATTCATGCATAAAATTCATCTTCTCCATTGCTCTCGGTCATGTCGTGCTGTGAGGAAAACGCATGGGCCCGAAATAGATCTGAGACCTTGACTTTATGACTTGAAGTGGTCAATAGCAGGAAGCCCTTCCGTGGGGTCTAGACAGCAGGATGACCTATGAAGGAGAAGGAAACGGTAGCATTGAAACGAACGCTAAAATCCTTCTGCCGTCCTTCGTTCGCTGATGAGAGCAGCACTAATTCATGACGGTCGTTTAGTGCATTGGTCTCAGAATGTTTAAGAAGCGACATTCCCAGCAGTAGCCGGGGGGTCAGCGATTGGCATGCATCGGGCCAAAGCGACATAAGATTCATCTGTTGAACACAGAGTTTGTCTCTTTCAAGCCACCCCCGCAAACATCAGACGACGAGTGAGTGCAACATATTGTACGGGAGGGGGGCCCACCACATTCAAGATGAATATTCTCACCAACTTGACGACGCTCTTCACCGCGATGACACACTCAAGCGGCGCGTACGCCGCCCGGATCGGACGATCGATCCCGGATTACACCACATCAGAGGCTGGCAATCCGTTCGTGGACGGATGGTACGCCGACCCAGACACAGCTGTCTACAATAACGAGTACTGGGTTTACCCAACATCATCATACGCATACGAGGAGCAAACGTACCTTGATGCCTTCTCCTCCAAAGATCTCGTCCACTGGACGAAACACTCGAAAATCTTGACAAAGGCCGACGTAACATGGGCCCAGGAGGCTATGTGGGCACCTGCCACTATTGAGCGCGACGGAAAGTATTACATCTACTTCGGTGCCAACGACATTCAAGAAGGCGAGAGCAAAGTGGGTGGCATCGGCGTCGCGGTGGCGGACAAACCTGAGGGCCCGTACAAAGACGCCATCGGCAAGCCCCTTATCGGCGAATATCACAACGGTGCACAACCGATCGATCAGGATGTCTTCATTGATGACGACGGTCAGGCTTACATTTACTACGGAGGTCACGGACACGCCAACGTCGCCAAGCTGAACGCCGACATGATCAGCATAGGGAACTTCTCCGACGGCACCCAGTTCAAGGAAATTACCCCCGAAAACTACGTTGAGGGATCATTGATGTTCAAGCGGAATGGCAAGTACTACTTGATGTGGTCTGAAGGAGGGTGGACCGGACCTGACTACTCCGTGTCGTACGCGATTTCAGACTCTCCTCTCGGGCCGTTCAACCGCGAAGCAAAGATCCTTCAGCAAGACGCAGCCGTAGCCACTGGATCTGGTCACAATGCTGTGATCAATGTTCCTGGGACGGACATTTGGTACATCTTCTACCACCGCCGACCACTGGGAGACACTGACGGCAACCACCGGCAACTCGCCTACGACCGCATGTACTTCGACGAGAATGGCAAGATCAAGCAGGTCAACATGCTTGTCAAGGACAACTTCAGTGATGGAAATCTGATTGGATGGAATACCGCGTTTGAGGGAAAGTTCTCAGTCAAGGACAATCAGTTAAATGCGGAAAAGACGTCGGACTGGAGCGGCAAGGCTCTTCTGAATACGGGATTTGAAGATTTCGTTTTCGACATCGACATCACCCTCGTTGACCCAGACGTCAACTCAACCGCCCGCGACTCGGGTGACGCGGGCGTTCTCTTCGGAGTTACTAGCGCTTCAGCAGGTATCGACAACGTCACCGGCTTTTATGCAGCTATAGACGCATCTGGGGCCGTTGTTCTAGGACAGATGAACCAGAACTGGCTTCAGCTTGCCTCTGCTGATCTGGACATCAAGGCGGGAACAAAATATCACTTGCGTGTTACGGCGATTAACAAGGAGGTTAAAGTATTTGTGGACGATATGTCGATATCGAAACTCACTTACATGGTGTCAGTAAGCACGAAGGGAACAAGCGGAGTTCGCGTATTTCGCACTGGTGCGCTGTATAACAATCTCTCCGTAGCACATCCGGGTAACTCATGAGGTTCTGATGCTGGCATGAGTTGGAAATAGAACGAAATTCTTGTCAATATTGAAAATTTTGTAATTAAATGGGACAAGCCTTGATTCTTGCACATTCAGAGTAACTCAAAGATATTGACACCAAAGTTGCAAGCTGTACAGTCCGAGCATTTGAAGAAAGCTTGAAACAAAACTAGGAGGTAGACATACTGGAGGCAGTCGCAACCAACTGAATGAATGAGAGCACCTAAGCTAAGGTACAGATTCTAGTTCCATGTAACGCGTTCTAGGGGCGTTCAATGGCTTGCGGCCATACATGACATATCCATTCCAGTAGGCGTGGATCTTCGTATCTTGGAGGTCCCTTCGAACATGGGCACACAAAACCAAAACTTCCGGTTTCGACCAACCCAGTGCACGCGTCAACAGGCCAAGAGTGAGGGCTTCCAAGCCCGGGAGAAGCTGGTACAGGTTCCATTTGCCTAACTCTCTGAGTCGGTCGTCTTTTGGCCACGGAGAAACCGGGAACACAACTCGCGTGGTTCGTATATCTTCGAACCCAATAGCCTGCATCATCATCGGTCTTTGGGCAGTCTGGTCAATTGGGCGTCCAAGTTTGTCCGAAGCTTCTACCAAGAGACGGGTCCACTTGTACAACGCGGAGTCCTCGCTGAAGGTGCCGTCATCACAGACGGGAGGCCAGATACTATCTTGGATTTCGAAGTAGCCGCCTGGTTCCAAGTTATTGTATGCTTGAGTTATGACTCCCTCCCAATCACCAAAACTTCCGTTCATGTCGCGGCAGAAGATGAAGTCGAAAAGTGTGTTCCAGGCCCATTCTTTTTCTATATCGTCGATTTCGAAGCGGCAATTTGGAGGGACGTATTCTGGCTGAATTGGACTGAGGTCGACGCCGAGTACTTCGGCTTTCTCGTGAGCTTCAGCGTAGTCGATAGACCAGATACCAGTTCCTGTGCCAAGGTCGAGGACCTGCCTAGCAGTGTCGTTGTTCTTCGGACACAAGCAGAAGTTTCCGTCGAGGGTCAGCATCCACACGTGATTGACGATGTCCAGCCGCTCTTGCTCTCGGTCATCGTTTGGAAAAGCATATTTCCCGTCGCTCATGCGGTGATATGTGCGGCCATTCTCGCGACGATAGTCCAGAATGCTCGATCGTAGAGAGGCCTCCATCGTGTGAGCTGAGTGAGGTTGTTGTAGGCAACGAAGATGTTTTCGGTTCACCCCTCTTTCACCGCTAATTGTTATCTCCTACCCCCACTTTTCTCACCTGGTCACATGTGTCCTGTTTGCTGTTGGTTCATGTTGCAACTTCCATGTTGGGCGGCAACGACCCCTGTCCGGATAGAAGATAGAGGCTCCAACACTAGCGCGTGGCAACGAAAGTTTCGGGTTTTCCTGGGAAGAAGGAATGATCTTGGGACTCTTGCAGAAGACTTTCACATCTTTCAGTCATTCTGTTTAGCGTGGTCTGGTTTTCATCGGCTTGCTCGATGAAATATAGGGTTTGGCCTGATCCTGATGCCAGCACCTCGAGGTCCCTATGTGAGTGCCTGAGAATAATCACTTTCAAGAAAATGAGCCACTTAAAATTAACATAGAAAACTCGATCCCAATCTGACGTACAAATAAGCTCACAATTACGATTTACTACTCATGGGATTTTAGCTGGGCTACGATTGTCGATGGCAGCATGCGGGGCAATGAGTGAATTCGGACTCTTGGAGATCAGAGCAAGCGAGCAGCACCTTGTGCTGATTTGTGACTCGCGGTATTTTGAGGTCATTATGTTTAGAATTTCTGTCAATTTTGGTTGTTTTCCTTTTCAGGGTCGAGGTACATTAGCTCGAACTCGGCCAGCACGGTGAGAACTTTAGAAACTTTTACTTAGTCAGTCTTTTACATACATTGTTACTCATTTGTGCACTGGCTGTATGAATCAAAGGAAAAACGACTTGATGTCTCCCGTCCAATAGAGCCCAGTCAATTCTACTGTATCAAGAGGCCATGCTGGTTCTGTGTCCATGTTATGCCAATTCAATGTCATCGATGCGCGAAGCTGCCAAATTCAAGCCGTATCAATAGCATCACTTTGAGTTGGCAGTAAGCTTCTTCAAGCACATTATCTCCTTTTCAACTCAAATTAAGTTATTCATTAGATGGTATGTGGTATCTAGACGGGATTCTCGTTCTATTCGAAACGCTAGGACTTTAGCTGTTGCTTCCCTCAGACTGGGGAGCGCCGCAGTACTTGGTGCAGTAGTGATTCAGCTGGAATCATGAATTTGTTAGTTTGTACATATGCGCATAATCAGCCAGGCATTTGGCTTACCTCATCGCCTCCAATGTGCCAGCCATCGGATCTGCAAGCGTCTCCGTCCTGAGGTTCAAAATTAGCCAGGTTCCGAGTACGCCGGATCTCGGAAACGAGGTCACGAGCTTACCATATGGCAGTCGGGACACTGATCCCACTGCTTGTTGCCCGTGTTGCGGCGACGGTAGTAGTCGCAAGCGCACTTGGTTGCTTCGGGCATGATCTCGTACTTTTTAGACCAGCTATAGCTGACACTCCAACCAGTGCCGCCAATGGGCTGCTCGATACGGTTACGCACGCAGGCACCGAAGTTATGAAGTTTGGCTTCGACGCTGCAGAAGGATTTCTGGTCAGCATCTGAGATATTCCCTCCCAATTCACCCGAAGATTGAGATGTAGAAATGGGTGGGATGATGGTTCAACCTACCTAACGGCGAGAGCCACGACGAGGGCAGAGGTGCTGATCTTCATGTTTGTTGAAAGTTGAACGGGAAAGAACTTTGATGCGTGAATATGCCTCGTTGATTTTCAGTGTTGATCTGCGACTGGACATGCTAGCCTTGAGATCTGCGAGGTAACACTATATATGCTCTCATGTGCTCAACTGCAGTGAGAACATAGATGGCTGAGGTCTGGAACCCCTCCATCCGTGATAGGGTTTCATCTCCGAGATGGCCTTTCCGACCTTTCGCCCTGCTTTCAGAGCGAATGATGTGATAATCCCTTTCCTCCGCGTGATACATGCTGCGGGGGCAATAGTCTTGAGCCATGTTGCTCGGGGGTTGGTCTTACTCAAATCCAGTCAAGCGCCGGCGCCCACTCTGGATTCACCACAGAAAATCCCATGAAGAGGTTGAAAACATGACTCAATTTACTATCTGTCAAACGTGCAAAATCTTCAGAGGCCATCTCGGCGCAGGCGTCTTCGGAATGTCGGCGATATCTATCCACTTGGCGGGAACTGACTGAGCAATGGGAATTGGTCACGCACTGTTCTTTGGGAAGCATCTGCGAAAATCTGTGGAAACTGAGGACTCCAGTACTGAGTCGAGAAGAGCTGTTTATCTCGTAATATGGATAACTGAAAGGCTTGGTATTGTGGTTTTCTGCCCGGTATAATAAGGTCACTGACTCAGAATATATCTTTGGTGGGTAAGTCGTGGGCCGCGATGTACATGCGAGGTTTGCAAATCTAACACAGACAGATCTGCAGGAATGGAACGGTGTAGAATTAAGCTTAACTGGGAGACAAGGTCTTAGTAACTAGTCTCCTTCAATCGTCACCAAATTGGTCTATTTAATTGAGTTTGGCTAACCGTCAGACGTGGAGACATCACCTGGATGGCTTCATCTTGGCGTAGTTCCACTGCGGCTCCTGCCATACGAAGTACGGGGTAAGGCAATGACTCGGGAGCCATTTGATCTGATAATCTGAATAATTCGCGCGGATTTGCTCGGGTCAAGGGCAGCGGTGAGTGGTCATGCTTCCAAAGGCGTAAGGCGTGGATGAACCAATGCGGCAAGTCGACTTGCGCGTGAGTTGAGACTTTCGACCGGCAGCTGAGATGAGGAAACCACTAAGGATGACGATTTGATAGTATAAAGTCGTTTAAATATCCCAATAGTTTTGCAACACACTTGCCCTCACCACCCCTCTCATTGCTCCCCAAGTCTCCTGTTTTCTTCGGTTCATCAAAATGGCTTCTCGCTTCGTCACCGTCTGCCTTGCCGCAGTGGCCGCCGCTTCTCCGGTTTTTGTCCCTCGGACCACCAACGGCACCAAGTTCGACCCTGAGCGCGGTCTCTTCCCCGGCGAAGTTCTCCTTGTCGGCCACGAGCACAGTAAGTGGAGGAATCCATCATCGCCTACCATTTCCCCGGCCATTCCCCGTGCTCTTAGAAGAAGCGAGTCCTTGGCATGAACTGTGTCTTGGCGGTCCTTTGCAACGAGCCACACTGGGCAGAAAGCAGGCATCCCACGTATCGTGAGTACGACAGGCTAATCTTATCGTTGCAGTGGAGGTCGTGGACAAGGATTCTTACTCGGCGATGCTGTCAACCAGCGGCATTCTGTCCTCGCCCCCTGACGTCGACCGTTCGCTTCTGGACTTTGAGGAGCCCACGGAGGAGGAGCTCAAGCAGCTCGACGCCCGTCAAGCAAGCTGCGATATGACCACTGCCGTCGTCATCACCAGAACCGACAGGTTCTACGACTGGGATCTCCAGATGAGCCCTGTGTCGATTGCTGGTGGCAACCCTATTGACATCAGTCTCACATCGACTTACACGGTCACTGATACTCTCACCATCACTGGCGGTTTCAGCCCGACCATTGTCACCGGCTACTTGACATCGAACTTCGGCGTTTCTGGCTCCCGATCCTGGGCCACTGCTCAGGCCATCATGGTCAGGGGAACCGTATCCGCTCACCACACCGGTGTCATGGTCAACAACCCTTTCAAGACCAGAAGATATGGCCGTGTCATGAGAGGTTGCCTCGGAAAGCAAACACAAATCGGAACGTTTATGTCCGATGCTTATGTATGACCCACGTTTTCTCAACTTTTGCGTATAGAAACTGATTTGAGAACTAGGAGGAGGGAAGCTACGGCGGCGTCAAGTGGATCAGAGGAGCAATTACCCCTTGTGAGAAGCCCGGTGTCCACCGCCCGCTTTCTCGCTGCCAGGGCGGCGGCAACTTCGTTTAAGCGAAAAGTTTCCATAGCGGGTAATGCTGCTCTTGAGCTCTCAGGAGCAGGCAACGGGTTGAAGGGGGGTATTCTACTGGAGTTTCCAGCTTGCAAAGGCTGTGCATGAGCGTTAAAGAGGTTGCACGGCTCGGATCTTTGGAAACCCCCGCTTCCAACGCGGGGCAGAAGGTCGTTAAATAGCTTATGGATTATGTTCCAGTCTAACTGTCTAATGATAATTCATCATGTCCCTCACGTGCCGGAAGCTTCATCGGATCTGGTCTTTGCCCATACTCGGACTTAATGTGGCACTAAACAGAACGTTCCTGTGCATTTGATAGAATGCTTTGTAATTTGCAACGAGGTCACACTCCGAGGTCTTGCGATGCAGAAATTTTGAAAATAACACCGGTTACATCCCATGACATATGTGATAATCACATCCTAAGTCTTACTGAATTTAATTCACATACAATATCCCTGGTGTATAAGAGACCAGCAGGGCCGTGCTTGTGTGTATGCTCGTAGACAGAACATGATGGATATGTGCATCAGTCTTCCCAGAATCATTTACCCTTTTTACGTGCCATTCATTCCGTCCCTGTCATCAATTATAGCTGCAGTGAAATTGTGATGTCAGCTCTCAGCCTCACGCGTAGTTTGTCCTGGAAATCCGGGGCCATTGGAATGTGTTTTGAGGCTGGGGGCCGAGCTAGAACCTCGAACTTCGTCTTGCAGCCAGCCCTGTACACCCAACCAGCCACACACAGGGGCAGAGGCGAGGTAAGCAGGCTTCAATGTCTAAGGATTGGGTATGTTTCGGACTTGGACCCCAAAGACTCCCCGCTTCAGGGCTGACATGTCCCAGACCAAGCTCGCAAGTCATAAATTCTCGGTGAGATTGAAGCAAGGAATACTCAAATGGACCAATCCACGCGGGATTCTCGATGAGAAATTCTAGGAGGTTTCACAACTGTTGATGACTGTAAGCTCGATGCATGCTGCCGCCAATTTCTTTTCTTGTCAGCCCGTCATCCAGGCTGCCTCGCGTGTGCAGCCCCCCTATCGTGTCAGGCTTACGGCTTGCGAATTCTTGCGACTGCATCACCTGAGATTGTGGCGCTTGAAAGACGCAGTGGCATACGTATTTCGGGAGATATCAGTCGATG